AAAGAGTGCTCCTTGCTTGCAGCTTGAATAAGATTCCAATAAGATTCCGAGGGATTTCTGAACTCACAACTTTGTGTTGTGCTTTCAGAGACCTTTTAAGATGACTGTAACACAATCGACATTCAACTACAGAGACACATTCAACAACACATTGCCTGAGGGAAGCATTTCCTTTTCAAAAGCGCCAACTCAAAAGAGGCTGTTGTAATCACACATTGTGATATTCACCCTTCTGAACAAGATGAGTTGCTAATGTGTAACAAAGGATGTGGAGATGTTTTCACAGCCTGCCTAGAATTCCCAGGGGAAAACTGGCTAGCTACAGGGTGGAAACAGGATGCTGGACTTAGGAAATCTTTGGTTTGATCTAACGGGGCTCTTAAAGTGAGCGGGTGGAAGTTTACCACAGAATTTGAGGGTTCACAATAGGAAGGGTTGAATACATCCCCCAATATTTCACTGAAAGGATGCACTGGGATCTTGGCAGGGTAGATGCACCCTGGTTATACCTACCATTGTTGTATATTGGAGGGATCTATATATGTTCAACAGATTCCAAGTTTATGTAACTTTTCCACAGGTCAAATGTATCCACCAAGAGCACTGACAATAATGGAAGACTTCATTCACTGGAGTCAGTTCAAACATTCTTTCAGGGCAAAAGATAAACGAACCACCCAATTTAAACAACCACCCTTTTTACGACCCTGTAATCCCTTAATTTGGAGTAGAGTCAGGGCAACTGGATGGAGCTGAGAATTTACTGGCTGGATGCCCTTCCTGACTCCATATGGAGTTCGCAGCAAAAAAAATTTTTTGCACCCTAGGAGAGAAACACCTGCCACTACCTAGGATTGAATTCTCAATTTTCTGAGTGGTAATTTTGGATTACAAGGAAAGCTAGCTTGGTTTTGTTTAGGCTGGTGGTTTAGGGTTGCCCAAACATTATTGCCATCTATTAAACTCCCAAATACCTTTCAAGCACCAGCTTCAGGCAGACTGTATTTTGAAAAACGTTTCTGCCCCATTTCTTTAAATGCCAACTATTTGGTGAAAGTCAAACCTCACGTTCCAGATGTGCATATGGGGTCCAGATGGTGAGGGATCTTGCTCCTCTCTCTTCTCTCTTCCCTTCTGCTACTTCTACTACAGCAGCCTTTTGGCACTTTAGGCATGGATTCAGGGGTGGGATTCAAAAATCCCAATAGCCGGTTCTCTGCTCGGTTGCTGGGTAGGCGTGGCCATGGTGGGTGTGGCCTACCGGAACTTCCGGGAGGGCCATGTTTTACTCTCCCAGAGCCTCCGCGCATCCTGCACTTACCTGCACTCAAAACAGGCTGTGTGGAAACTCCTGGGAGGGGAGGGGAGGGGTGAGTGGGGCCAACTGGTCAGTTCAACTACTAGTTCAGCAAACCAAATGTAAATTTAACATCTGTTTCACCTGAACTGGCTCGAACCGGCTAAATCCCACCCCTGCATGGATGTTTACCCTCACACACATCCTACCAGATTTTTTTTTTAAATTGCAAATACCAGATGTTGGATTTTAGAATAGTTTGAATGTCTAGTTAGTGCTCTAACATGAAGTGGGTCTTCAAGTGACACCCAAATCCATTAAGCATTACCTGAAATGATTTACATTGTTTATGAGTGAGGTCAGTTAAGAGACTGCTGGGTGGTTTGCACACCAATATTTTTCTCAGCAGTGGGTGTGGTTAATTCTGCAACTTGGGATCTTTGACCCTGATCCAACTCTTCATAGATGTCCTCTTGCCCTGTTGGCAGAGCAGAAGCCAGCGTACAACAATGAGGACCTTATGCTTCCAGAAGTCAACCCTGGTGCTCTTCAACTAAAGCAGAATGCTTCTCCTTTTCCCCAAGCGCCACGTGTTTTCTTTCTCTCTCACTCAGATATACAATTTTATAATTCCTCAGTGGTTGCAACATCTTACTGCCGTGATGGCGAATCTATGGCACATGTGTCACAGGTGGCACACAGAGCCATTTGTGTGGGCATGCGAGACCCAGCCAAACTTACCTCACTGTGCTTGCGCGTGCCTCCCAGCTGAATTTTGGCCCATTTGAGGCCTTTATTGGTCTCCCAGAGGCTCGAGGGAAGCCTCTGTAGCCTTTGGAGGCCGAAAAACAGGCCCGTTTTGTCACTTCCTGTATTTCTGGAAATACCGGAAGTGATGAAACGGGCCCATTTTTCGGCCTCCAAAGGCTGCAGAGGCTTCTCTTGAGCCTCTGGGAGGCCAAAAACGCCCTCAGAAGGGCCAAAAATCAGCTGGGAGGTGTGCAGTGCAGGTAAGGGAGCAGTGAGGGGATCTCATGTGCATGCCCATGGGGCGGGGTCCCCCCGCACGCATTGCCTTCTGGGTGCTGGCACGCAAGCACATGTGCAATTTTTGGCATAGGAGCCCAAAAAGGTTAGCCACCGCTGCCTTACTATGCCTTCAGTAAGAAAGGCAAGAACTGAAACAGACAGTAGGAGAGAAGGAATAGCTCAGGTTCTTCCTGGTCAATCATTCCTGGTCAACTCTTCTAACCAGTGCAGCTAGAAAAGCAGTTCCGTTGATGATGTTTCATTCCCTGTTGCTGGGACTTCTTTGCTTTTTTGCCTCAGCTGGACTTGGTTGATCCTCTCCTCTGAAAGCCAGACCCTTGATCCCTGGGGAAGCACTCCAACTTTCTACAGAAAGCCCCAGGAGGAAAATCCCTGAACAGCCGCATAGGCAGGGCAACGTGCAGCCCAGAAGCAGCTGCACAGTCAGGACGATGTGACAAGTGGAAGGAAGGAGAGGATGGCTGGAGGCCTGGCACAAACATCTGCCAGCTGGAATCAGGGGTCAACGCGGGGGGGGGGGGAAACAGATAATACGAGATTGGCCTGGCTGGTTGTGTAGGGTGATGTGAGGACACTGTCTGGAGATGTCAGATCAGAGAAAGGGATAGAAACAGCTGTCCTATATAAACCCCTGCAAGGGTTTCTCTGCAGAGATGCCTCACTCTCCCTTCATTAAGGTCACTGCTTGGAGAGACTTCATGCTGCATAATATTTATTCAGCTCATCAAAATTTAGCAGAATACTCCATGGCTTTTTAAATAGACTTCATGCCATTCTCTTCCAAACACCCCTCGTTTCTTGGCAGGTCTCAACAGACCTTTAAAGCTGGACTCAACAGACTTCTAAAGCATCATCCTCACGCATGGACAAGCTCCAGCTTTGCCTCCAGGCCCCCTTTTTTTTGTAGACATATGTTTCTTGAGACAAGCCAGGCTGGACAGATTCAAAAAGAAAAGGGCAATTCTTAATTCCTCTTTAATTCTGGCCTTTAGGATTACATGACGTCGTTCCAGGCCCAGCCACCTGGAGGAGGATATTCCTGTAGAACAGGGGTCCCCAAACTTGGCAACTTTTTAAGATTTGTGGACTTCAACTCCCAGAATTCAACTGCCAGCTATGTTGGCTGGAGGATTCTGGTTGTTGAAGTCCACAAGTCTTAAAGTTGCCAAGTTTGGAGACCTCTGCTATAGAAGGTGTGTGTGTGTGTGGGGGGGGAAAATAGGAGCACAGGTGATGGGGCAGAATATTGCCAAGCTGACATAGGTGGTAGAGCACTTTTGGCAGAAGCAGGGAAACCAAAAGAGTTGCTGCCCAGTTCTCTAGATGAGGAGAACCTGAGGCCCTTCCAATATTTTGGGATGCCATTCCCCTAATCCCTGGTTGTTTAGGTTCACAGGCACTGAATATCACAATGCCTAGAAAGCACCAAGTTACCAATCCCTAACCATAATCTAAGCTCCCTGTTTTATTTCCATCTGGAAGTGTGTGCAATGAGGTAGTTCTCATAGGAGAGAAGGAGGGATGGGGGAGAGAAGGGAAGGGAAAGAAAAGGGAAAAGGGAAGGGAAAGGAAGGGAAGGGAAAGGGGGGGGGGAGGGAAAAAGAGGGAAGGGAAGGGAAGGGAAAGGAAGAGAAAGGGACAGGGGAAAAGGGAGGGAAGGGAAAAGGGAAAAGGGAGGGAAGAGAAGGGAAAGGAAAGGAAAAGAAAGGAAGGGAGGGGAAAGGGGAAAAGGGAGGGAAGAGAAGGGAAGAAAGGGAGGGAAGGGAAAAAGAAGGAAGAGAAGGGAAAGGGAAAAGGGGAGGGAAGGGAAGATAAGAGAAGGGAAAGGAAAAGAAAGGAAGGGAAGGGAAAGGGAAACAGAGGGAAGGGAAGAGAAGGGAAGAGGAGGGAAAGGAAGGGAAAGGGAAGGGAAGGGAAGGAGAGAAAGGATTTAAATGCTACAGAAGAAGGCATCTATGACAAACCAATGAAAACAGAACAATGAAACTTGTTCAGTGTCCCTCTGTGCTGTAGGAATATAAGTTCCCCCTCCCACTCAACATCAAGAAACTGCATTCTGAAATGAGTGCAAATCATCAAAAAACATTGGATTCATATTTTTCATCTTGCATAACGTCCCATCTTTGCCTCTCTACTGGTTGAATCTGAGCCCTGTGGCAGAGCAAGGAGGGAGGAAGCAGGTTCATACGAAACGGAATCAGTGAGAGATAGAGGTTGTTTACAGGCACAGGACACCACTGAGATGTGTGCGTCAGAGGAAGGAAAATTATGAAGAGCTCATATTTTCCAACGTTTAATTGCAGGGTCTTCTGAAGATGCCTTTGCGTCTACAATTTGAAGTCTCTCTGTAGCCATAAAGAAAAGCTAGGGATCTAAGCTTGTTTTTTTTTAATGATGGCTGAGATTCTCAGAGGTTTATGTCGGGCTATTGAATTCTGTGCAATGAATGCATGCTGAAGTTGGTTAGAAATACAACAGGAACACCACTACCACATCACGGTGATACTGGACTTTGATATTCGGGCACAAGCTCATTGGGGGTGAGGATGCCCTTTCATTTATTCCAGGCCACTCCTTTAGATTGACCCAATTTTTTTTTTTAAAAAAAAAACAACCCTCACTCTAAAACAATGAGCCATTTCAGTCATGCAACTTGAAGGAAATCGATCTTTGTAGCTGACCTTACAGGTTTAGGAGTGACAAATTTAGCAGCAATCATAAAAGTCTTGACCATTGCTGTAGAGGAAACCCTGCAGGGCATCCACCCATAGATACAGAACATCAAAATACTGTGGTATGATGGCTACATCTTTGTAACAATGGCTGCCCATTGAAAACTTCCAAAGGCATTACATTTGATCTGCCAACATCTCAATTAACTTCTCCCTGCATCGTAGGACAGGACCTGAGGGCAAACACAATACAAACCTGAATAATATCATGCTCTCCCATGTTTTTTTTTCCTTTGACCCCACCCCCAAAGCAACAGAAACCACGTTCCCCCAAGGAAGAAAATGCCCAAATGTTGAGCATACTGAACCAAGAAGAAAACCAAGACATTTCAAGCTTTCTTCCATATGACAGTTAGTGCCATTTTGTCACCAGACATGGAATGGTCTGGTATGACTTTTCTGGAAGTCGCAGCAATGGGCTGCAATCTCAAACAACTTTCCCCCTTCTGGGGTAGACAGTTAGGGGACTCCAGTTCCCATCTTTTCCTACCTCACAAGTGGGCATTCCATGGGAAGCCTGTCATTTCCAAGGTATCCAAGCCATGCCAAGAAATTCAGCAGTTAAAATGGCCTACGTTCTGCAGTGCAATTTTTAACGATTTAGTGGGAATGGGGTTAAATTAAAAGCCAAACCAAGTGTCACATCTCTAGGAAGTTTCCTATATGCATTTTGGATCTTTGCAATGCCTCCCCCCCACACCTTCCAATAGTCTGCCCCTCCTGGGACATAACTGACTTGTTTCCACTAGGACAGGAAGTTCTAGAGGAGGAAGCAACAAGGATGTCTTGTCCCAGAAAAAGGAAGGACAACCAACCTCAGCTCAAATGATCAAATGATCTGAACCAGGTGATGGAACCAATGGAACACCAGCAAATAGAATGGAAGAATCCTTTTGGATGCCACCAGTCTGGGATGCTAACCTTACCAAATAAATTGTTGGTTCCAAGGTTGTCCTAAACTGAAATCCCTCCTCTTACATTTCCTGCATTGAGTTGGGTTGGGTTGGGTTGGGTACTGCCCTCTTTTCCTCTAATAAAATCTGTGACCCAAGGAAAAGAATCTGTTGCATCTCAAAAGCCAACGTCCTGAAGTTATTCTAGCTTTTAGGCCAGCACCACATCACCCATTTCTGAATAAAATGCATTCTTTAACAGCTCTTGGACTTTCCACTTGTTTGCAAAATTCGCTGCCCAGAAGGCACTTCTGGGTAGGAAGAACAGTTAAGTCTGCTAGTAGCAGCAGGCTCCCACTGTGTGTAAAAGTGCACAAACAACGCTTCTGTTAGCCAAGCTTTTGCAAAATTGTCACGCTGGGTGCATAGAATAGGTCGACATGGATCTCACCTCCTTTCATACAGACCGGGGTTTTGGGAGAAAGCGGGCTGTACTTATGGAGCACCAGATGCTCTCCTCATGCCTCTACATGTTCAGTGTTAACATCAGCCAAGGGGAACTGACCTACACGCAGACGTCTATGGGCCGATCCTTGTTTACAGACACTGTGCTTGAGTATATGTGACTTGGAAGGAATTATGGCTGACAACAAAATTTGGGGATAGGGCTTTGGGAAAGGAAAGGGCCATTACATATGGGCTAACTCCCTTTTTCATATGTCTGTTAATGTGCAAGAAGAATATTTGCAGAGTTCTAAATTCATGTACAATTGTTATGGGGGTAATAGGGGACCCGGATTTTCTGTGTTTTCTAGGCAATGGCTTGGGTTCCAATTTTGTTTGGTTCCAATTTTCCCCAAAATGATAGCTTAGAGACCTGATGGGGCCCCTCCAACTCAGACTCCTGCGTCTGCTTTACAAAACAAAGCCCATCTTGCATTTTGGATTCCCATGCAGCAGAGATGGCACGACCCCCCCCCATCTCCATACCCTGCCATGGGACCCTTCCTCTTGTCAGGAACGAACAAGACATGCCAACTCCATTGGAGACCATTCAGTAGTGCTATCATCAAAATAATAAAATAAAATAAAATTAAGTTTTAGAAATCCAGTCCATGAAATGCCACCCACACTGATGCAACTCGAAGGATGCACCCACAAGCAGTGGGCTTTCAGTAAGCGAGAGGCCTCCGAAACATACACAAGGTCTTTGCCCCGCCTAGTTGCACAGAGAACTTGGCTGGAAAGGCAGGGCTCCGTGGGTCCTCAATGGCAGGTTTTCATTCCTGATACGTACGGGGACTCTTGAGGCCGGCAGTTGCATTCCTGCTGTTCTGGGTAGTCTATGAAGTCTGGAGCAGGAAGACCCGTGACCACCATTAATGATTTGTTCCAAATGGTGAAGGTAGGACAGACAGGCAGGATGAAAGCAATCTCAAATGTATGGAGATGGAGCGAGTTGGCAGGGTCGTAGAAGGAGAAGACGTTATTGTCATAGTCCAGGAGGACGCCCAAGCGCTTCATCTGGGGGTGGACGTCGAGCAGCATCTCCTTGTTGTTATGCCGCACCACAAAGCTGTTGTTGCAGCGGGAGAAAACCCAAGAGGAGGAGTTCTTGCCGACCCACTCGTTCTTGGGGGCGGATTTGTAGGCAATGCCGATGGCGTACCTGGGGAAACAGGAAGGGGACCGAGAGTCATTTACAGGAGATCGGCTGCAATGAGGCAAAAATGGAATGGAATGTACAACTCTGTAGCAGCAAAGGGGGAGGATTTGGCCAACTCACAGCCTTCCCAGAAAAAAAAGACTGGTGCTTTGGCCTAGAGGTGGAGCTCTCGTCTCACAATCAGGAGGCTGTGAGTTCGATCCTAGGTAGAGGCAGATATTTTCTTTCTTTGGGCATAATGAGAATATATCTGCTAAAAAAACCTCCACATTGGTTGACAGGAAGGGCATCCGGCCAGTAAATTCTCAGCTCCATTCAGTTGCCCAGACTCCACCCCGCAAGTAATTATAGGGTCATTAAAAGAGGATGACAGCCTTCCCAGAAAGAAGCCCACATCAAGAGAATATGCAGTCCCAAAATGGGTGGTTCAGGGGGAAAACGTTCAGGATAACCACACTAGAATCTCTCAGTATATATATATCTAGTAGGCTAGAAGACTATTGCTTTAGTCTGGCAAGATTCTGTCCATTAGGTACAAGCAAATAAAGGATTTCTCTCAGGATATATATCTAGTAGGCTAGAAGACTATTGCTTTAGTCTGGCAAGATTCTGTCCATTAGGTACAAGCAAATAAAGGATT